ACAGTTTGGCTGTGTGACGAAAGAAGGAGGTACTATAAGGGGTTATTCTAGTGCAGGGGTGGGCAAAGTACGGCCCGCGGGCCACATTTGGCCCGCCAAATTATTTTTGTGGCCTGCCACTGCATTTGTATTTACAAATACAAGGCTTTACTTTGTGTTAATATAATACATTTGCATCTACATTAAGTGGGTGGCCCGCGAAGTGTGCCACCATTCATGAAGTGGCCCTCCATCAAAAATAATTGCCCACCCCTGTTCTAGTGTGACCGACAGCCACAGAGAAACGGTGGGCGCCGCGGGCAAGACAAGTGTTACGATCCCACGGCCTTACTGGCGGAACACAGGATGCCAAATCCACCAAACCTTGCCCGTTTAAGTACTTGTAAAAGACAGAGAGTGAAGCAACATTGTGGTGAAGACTGGTTTAAGACTTCTAATTTAGTACCCAAACTTAAGGCTTCTTTGGGGTAGGCACAGCACTGTCTCTTAGCCTGAAAGGAAAGATATGCTGTATACAATTGGTATGAGTAATGTAATGTACAGTACAGTATGGCAATGACTTCCTGTATGCAGGCTTGAGTGAAATGAGATAAGAATGGTGAAGTGGATGTGTATGTGACACTAAAAGATAGGTCATCCTGTTCACAGCTGGGTATTGAGACTATTGGTAAAGTTTTGCATTGAGGTAGACCAAGATGGTTTGGCCATGTGGATTGAATGAAGGAGACCGCTAGGTCAAGAGGTTTATATGTGTAAATGTGGAGGGGAGGAGAGCTAGGAGTAAGAACAAAATCAGAAGTTTTAAAAATTACATCAGAATTAGGAACCTGATGGGAGAAGCTGCAAGAGACTGTGCAACATTGGCAACTGCCATAGGTAGCATAATCACAACTAACCCACACAAGCATGGGAAATGACTGTAAAACAATGATGATTATGATGAGGCATTTTGCACTCATCCTGGCATAGTTTGTAGTCTGTGTGGAGATGATGTAAAGACAATTGGGATCTAAACAAGTCAAGGCAAGGGTGACAACAAACAACTACATAGCAGCACATCACATTGGCTGCTGCCAACTTTCATATCTGCCTTTCTCTGCCATACTAATGCAAATTATTAATATTTGTAATGTAAAGAATACTGTACAAGTGTTTCACCAATAATATTACTGTGGATTATGGTGTACTGTACTGTATAGCTGTAATGAAATATTGAAATATGTAGTGATATGTACAGCACAGTTTTCCAAATTTTAAGAGGTATAGCCGTGGCACGTGACTTCACATTCTTATTTGCATATTTTAAGTTTTCCTCGAATCAGAAGCTTTCAGTGATATGTCGTTGCCAGTGCTGAATCTAATACTTCTGTATATACTGTACAATACAGGGTATTTACTATTAGTGTGGTGATATAGTCCAGACTATTATAAAAAATAGTGAAATTTGTGATGAGACCCAAATTTACACATACTGTACTGTACATAGACAATGGAGGTGTTAGTGTTACGGCAGTAGAATGCATTTACTTCTCACTACTGTGTACCCGGTTTGATCCTTAGGTCGGGTGTGAGAAGTGTGTTCACTGGACAATGAAGGTTGTAACAGAACAAACCAAATACCTGACAGGCTATTAAGCTGACAAATATCGAGGCTGGCTAGTCATGAGTGCTGATTTTGGCAAAGGGATTTGTCTATTTTGTGAATGGGACATGTGTCTTATCAGCCATATTTGTTAACATTGTCAATGTGATGTAATGTTAGGTTCAATACCGTATAATACCGTAGATATCTTCAGTATCTTACATGATAGAGTATAATCTTTCAATGACTTCCCATAGACCCCATTTCAAAGGCTGAGATACATTCCTGTGAAAAAATACTTCACCATAATGTCTTTTGAAGTGCCACAAGACATGTTAAAAATGAAAATTTTTGGTGTACACAATGATTATAATAAAAAAATAAACATTTTAGGTGAAATACTGTGCATGCAGTATACAGTAGTACAGTACAGTAAGACAGTACTAATTGTATACCTGTACTTACGAGAAACTGGATGAGATTTGAAACAAATTGAAGAGTATGAAATTCTGTGCCAACATCTATAGTAAATATATTACTGTAGTAATACTGTACAGTTAATTGACTTCCATTCTTTAATGGGCAATATGTTCTCTTTGAGAAAAAAATTCCTAGGCCAACCCCTGATGAGTTATTGCATCACTCTAAATTCCCACTGATTTATTCACGGCACAAATGATGCCTTCAGTCAGCTGACACTAAACTCGTGCTCTCTCATGCCTTGCTGGCAGTATTCACACCACCAAACTTGATTCACTTTCATATTCCACACTTTTTCAACTCTACACCTTTATTGTACATTTACTGTACTGTATATAATTAGCACCTGAAATTTAAGAATTCAGCATGCCCTGAGAATTTGCTGATTTTTAATTCGCGGATGACACCCTGGATGTACCCAAGAATGTCTAAGGGTAGTTTTAAAGTTGCTGGCATTTTCACGACCGGGACAGGGAGCCATTCGTTCTAGAGACAGTAATTTCTTTTGCCTGTACAGTGGTCCCTCGGTTAACGAGCACAATCCGTTCTAGAAGGTCGTTCGTTAACCGAAACCATTGTTCCAATGGGTTTTTGGGTAATTGGTTCCAGCTCACCAAAAATTGCCTAAATTCAACAAAAAGGGTAGAAAAGTACACTTACTTTTAGGTGTGCATGTAGAAGGCTCCTGGATGATGATGATGATGATAGGAATTAGAAGGGGGGTGGAGGAGAAGGGAGAAGAGAAGGCATTGGGGTGGAAGAGAAGTCACCCCATGGTGCCATTTCACCAATAAAATTTTAGTTCTTTTGGTGTAATTCAAGATTATTTTCTTTAAATCAACACTGCACTGCATTATATATTGTCAATATGTAAAATAAATTTCAAAATTACCAATAATTTGCTTGGAAACACAGAAAAAAAAGCATTTAGTTGAAGAGAGTCTTAAGCAAGATGTTACCTCCACTGAAAAGAGAGAGAGACTAACGCCTGTTTGGTGTGTTGCCAGGCTGGATGGTGCGCCAGAAACTAGTTTCTTTACCTTCATTTATGTTCAATAATTGTTAAAATTACTAAAAAAATTAATACTAAACTTTTAAAAATTATTGAATACTGTAAACTTCTTGATATTTATTAAAATGGTAATGAATATAAGCCCTAGAACCCTACTGTATTGGTGGACTAATACTACAGCTGGTGGACCGCCAAATGCAAGCGAAAACATGTTGAGGTCGGCTCGTAAGAAACTCGTTAATTGAGGGATTGCTCGTTAACCGAAGTTAAGAATCTTATGGAAGGTAACTCGTTATCCGAAATTTCGTTAACCGAGGGACCACTGTACAGTACTGTATTTCCTTACAACTACAGTATACATGGTAAATAATTATCCATCCACACTGTGTAAAACAATATGACACCACAGATGATGGATACAGTACAGTATACTGTATACTGAACAGGTATTGCAAAATGCCAACATAGAGCAGGACCAACAGGCATATCACAATAGCCATACTGTGGTCCGTAGTGTCATATTGTTTTTACCATGTGTGCACATAGAGTTTATAATTACCATGCAGTAATTAAGTGCAAATCAGGATTAAGTGATTAAGAACTCTGTTTGGGCACAGGTAAAATGATGAATTGATGGGAAGGTAAATTAAAGACCATAACTATATTTCATAATTTTAAAAACATATCAATCTGATGTTTTGGTAATTAAATGGTAAATTACACAATGATTTCAATTGTTCAAATTGATGATGCCTAATTAACTGTAAGTTACATAAAACTAGCTGAGTTAGCCGGCCTCGCCTGGGTGAAGAGACAAGAAATACTTGTGTACAACCATCCCCTGAGTCACCCACACTTCCCTAACAAGTCTCAGCTCTATTTTGAAAACTGGAAATACTAAGGGACATCCAGAGACACACACACAATGTATTTTATACATACAGACTACAGCACTGTGCTGTATTTGATTTACAGTAATACTGTAGATTGTTTCTGTTGATATTGAAGTAATGTGAGCTAAAGGCTATCTAAAACTACTGTACAGTACTATATTGCACATTGTAAAGTTGTTGGTCTTCTTAAACTCTTATCTAAATCCACTGCACTAGTCCAGTAACCATCTCTATGTAACTGGGTAATATGATCTACAATGAGGATGTTAAATACAGTATCCTTATAGGTACTGTATTGGTACTTATCTGTTTAAAATTACATACTATATGCAGTAGCTATCTCTTACACTGCATAATATGGTGTGAGTCATGTATATACCTGTACTTGTGTACAATCGAAGACAAAAGTCGTGTCGCGGTTTTGTAAGAAGATTAAATATAACTCGTGAAACATTATGAGAGCCCCGACCACAAGGCAGCGCACACCAAAAGTTTAGCCCTTCGGCATTTGTTTTCACCAAATTTCAAGACACGACTTTTGTCTTTCAGTGTACATATGTCTTATATTAGTCAACTCATTTGCCTTATTGTTAAGTTTATCATTTCACTTGCTACTGCACTTGACTTATTCATGAATACTGTAATGCTTTTTGGTAAGCTGGATCATTTGGCTTGTGGGATTAGTTAATGGTTTATAATCCTAGAGACTGTGTATTATGGGCCACTCAAGATATTCTTCAGGAATACTATGGAAGTATGTATTAGTTGAGCATTTGAAGTCTCCCTTTCCCATGTACACTGTGTAACCTATACTGAATGTACAGTATTTTTATTGATATACAGTATATATAGTATGTAAAAATCTCATCGCAACAGTTGTTAACTTAAAATTAAGGTTTTACCCTATTTATCTTTGCTTTCAAAACTGTGGTTCTTAAATTCTCATATCTTTTGCTTAAGTGGTAGTGTAGTGTAGGATGTTTCTTTAAGTGTTAAAGATGGTGAAATTACTCTTGTTATGTTTCCTCTTCAGACGGACTTCAGTGGACGTGTGGTGAACAACGACCACTTTCTGTACTGGGGAGAGTCAGCGCGGGTGGCCGATGATGGTTTTGAATTCAGTTTCCAAGTTATTGAACAAACAGAATTCATTGATGATGCCTCCTTCATGCCCTTCAAAGGTGAGACCAATGTGTGCATACCATAATGCATATGTGCATGATTGATGCTGGAGTGGTCAGTTGTGTGGTCATGCTCTGTCTGAACTTACCTTTCCTGTCACCTTAACCATTGACCTTTTGGCCAGAGGAGCACATATCTTAGATTCAGCCCTTCCTCCTCCTTGTGCATGGACAAATTTTAAAGACTCACACCCCCCCCCCCCTTCCTCAGTCTCCCATTATTTTCCATCTTGTCCATCCACCACTAAACACTTTGATGAAGTTGAAGCAGTTGTGACATTGAAACACATCTTCATCATCTTTGTTTGAAGTGTAATTAAATGTTTCACCTGTACAGTACATCGCACATGGTTTCTTGCTCCTTGACTTCATGATATACAGTACACACTCTTTCCCAGTGGTCAAAACAGCCACCTGGTGGGAGACCTGGTTATGGCCTCATGTTCCACTACTGTACTCTACTGTAACAGTTGTTTATTTGAATGAAAAGATCAAACAAATCTTTCTTAAGAAAAGTTCATGTTACTGCACACTGAAAGGAATTCAATTTCCACAACTCTGATGAAGATTAAAATACTGTACATTACAGTACTACATATTTATGCCTGTACAGCAATCTTGGGGCACATTGATGCTATAACATTAAGTTTTTTTTACATGTTTTTTGTATTGATATATTGAAGTAAGATGATGAATTACATGTATTCATAAAATCATTGCAATTTCAATTTATTTGCACTGGCTTTTATATCGACACATTACAAGTTATTATAAGGTAAAATATAGAGTAGTGACATGATAGATTAAAATACTGTACAGTATACAGTACATATATCATGACTTTTCATAGATTTTTATCTGCACATTATTATTTCAGAAGAATATTTTATCTTTAAAAAGTCATGTAGCTTCTGTATATAAAACATTATCTCCCAAGTACAGTACCTGCAGTTCTCCCCAATTCCCCTTACTGTATCATTTGGGAGAATTTCTCAGTTTTAAAACCAATGAGGTTGTCACTTCACCAGTCAATACACTTTTTTTCATAAACATTTAAATGTAATTACTGAACACTCTCAACAAAAACTTCTCCAACACCTGGGCACGATGGATGTGAGAATGAGCAGAATGGGGCTTGTCATCCCAGAATGGTTTCAGATTCTTCATTCATTTTTCAGATTTCATAGTGCTTATAGGTGTTCAAGAAGTTTATGGTGAGAGTGTACCTTGACCTATCCCCCCCCCCCCCATCACTAGTGTCTGTGTGGGTGAGGAGGAATAAAGCCGTTACTGTATGTTATAAGCATGTATGAGTGTGTGGTGGGATTTGTGTTTTTGTAATGTTATTTGTTGTAACTATTAACAATAAAGGTATGAAAGTGTGTGGGTATGTGTTCTTTAGTGTGAGAGCTGTTGCACCTCCACATTTGAGGCTGATGGAATAGACATCTCAAGGATTATGCCTCCCTAAGTTTAGAAAGAAAAGTAAACATTCCTTGTGTCTAGGGGAGGATGGGGGTGGGTGTACTGTTCTGAGTCACTCTTATCTGGGGGTTGGTGACCATAATCCTCTGCTCTAAACATTCTTATTAATGTACAGAAAAGCAAAATGTCTAATATGTCATTGTTAGTTTATGGAGACAGTTTGATCATACAGTACTAACATCATCCAGACGCGAGATAAAAATACTGAATAATTGCAGTTGGGAGAAATATTTTGAAGTGTTACACTGTTAAAGAAATGTATGGAAGGTGTTAAAGGAAGAAATGCAAATGTTTAAGTGTTGTAGTATTATTACAAGTGTTGAAGGAACTTTGTTGTCTTGTAAAAGTATTAGAAACATTGAAGAATTGTTGAAGGACTTGTTTTGATGTTTCACCAAAGTGCTAAGTGTTGGAAAAGTGTCAGAGAATATAGAATTTTGAAGTGTTTGAGAATTGTTCAAGAATATTGGGAAACTGTTAAGAACTTAGGAAACCAGAAAATTATCTAGGCTCAGGAGATGTACAGTACAGTCACAATCCAAAGTTTCGACACCCCCCTGGCTGGGTGTTCGCCGAGGCCAGGGTTGAGGTAAGGCTGGGTGATCGGACGCAGACTAGTTCAGCAATGTGGTAACGAGGCACTATGATGCTCGTGTGCTGTGAGTCTCGGAGTGTTGTGGTGGTGGAATGTCTGAATCCGATCACCCAGCCTTACCTCAACCCTGGCCTTGGCGAACACTCAGCCAGGGGGGTGTCGAAACTTTGGATTGTGATTATTGAAATTTTTTTTGAACCTGGTGGTGAAGTATAGACTGTACAAGGAGGATGACATCCAACTTTATTATAGTCATATTTTAATGCTTGGAATAAGAACCATTATGAAACCTGCTGGCTAAATGATTGACCGACTAGAGAACTTTGTTGATCAACATGTGCAGACACAAGCTTTAACCAGATCTTGATCATATTATAAAAAACCTGTCTGTTGTTTGCTTGTTTACTTACCTTCTGTTTATTTTAAAATAATGATTGTAACATTTCCTATTTACTGTATACAACTATATATAATTTCTTCTTTTTTTCAGCGGGTAAGATGGACCCTTACATCAAGCGCTGTTGTGCCACCAAGATCCAGTCGGCAGAGAAACTAATGTATATATGCAAGAACCAGCTAGGTAAGATTCTTAAACCAGTAATCAGTTTATAGGCTTAAGTCCTTCCATGGTTGGTGGGACACTTTATAAAATACTGTACCCTTTTAATTATTGTATTTACTGTACAGTATACTGTATATTAAAAGTTCCTTCACATAAGAGGATTGTTATAACATGTACCCGTGCATATTGCAGTTACTGTACTCATGTTTATATGAGAATTACTACTACATAGCTTACTGTATACGTTATACTGTACTGTACTATTGGTTATTTACCTTTTATGATACAGTACAGGATAATTGTTACTGTATATTGGAGAAGTAAAAAACATAAATAAGCTAGAAATGCAGTAAGAAAGGATTTATGAGTTAGAAAAGAAAAATATGATGCTGGTCATGAGGAAGCTTTTTAAGTACCACAGCTCAGTAATACTGAAACGAGAAAAGCTGTCAAGGAGCTAGTTAGTCATTCTAGTGAGCTAGCTTTTATTAAATGAGAATATGAAGATGGTAGTACTGTACTATGAAAATGGCTTAAATAAGGGAGATGATGAAAGAAAGGTGTGTTTTGGTACAATGGTGTTGACTTCGCAGCAGTAATTTGGGACCTAGATGTTAATCAATTGGCTGATCTTTTGGGATAATGGTTAGCCAATGTCTGTCTGTCCTGTGCTATTCCTTGACACTGGATCATACAGCTGTTGTACTGACAGCAGCTCCAACACCTACAGTAAAAACCCACATAGGTAGGTGGTCAAGAGCCAGGAAAGATAACTTATTGAAACTTTGATAAAGGCTGTGTTGCAAGCTATCAAGGAAGATATGTAGCTCTATAAAGAATGTAAGAATCTAGAATAGCAGATAAGGAGGGATATCAGTCTCATAACCTCATTATCTAAACCATATTCTGATTTGTCTGATGTTTCTGGATTTTATTTATTTATTTTTCATGCTGAATTTAGTGAAAAAATAAAATAGGATTATTTCAGGGTGTGATTATGCTAAAAATGTTATTCATGTGTGGCCACAAACATGAGTAGAGTAACTCTTTGTGGTGTATTAAAGAGTGTGTTACACCCAGCAGCACAACATTAATTATGGTATGTTATGCCCTTGACTATCCATGTGACCATCAGTGGATGTGTATAGTATTGTTAAAGCTTTAGGCAGATGTGTAATTTTTGGTTGGAGTAGATATTACAGTTATATGGTTTAATTGTAATTGGAAGGAGCAGTGTGCTTCAGATCTGTTGTTGTGCCATCAGCCTTCAGAGGGTTGTGGGGTGTTGTAACAGGGTTGAGACCCATTGAAGGCATATTTATTAGGTAATAAACATTGTAGAAATCGTGTTCTTGAAAATTAATATTATGAGGTTTGTGTCAACAGGTATAGAGAAGGAATACGAGCAGCGTGTCTTGCCTGATGGGAAGCTTAATGTCGACGGGTTCCTGTGTGTGTTTGATGTCTCGCAGGTCCCCAACCGCTCTTTAGAACGTCAAGTTGAACTTACTGCCAGTATTCTAAACAACTGCCTTAAAACTAAAAGGCCAGTTGTTCTTGTAACAACAAAGAATGATGAAGCTAATGAGGTAAGGATATAAATGAGCCAAGTGTATGTTGGTAGATAAGGTGTAGGGAACACAGGCAATGCAATATATGAAGTAATGATTATTTTTTCACTGGTTTATAACCAGTAAAAATATTAACACTTCAGAATATTGTGTAGCCTGAGTCTTTGGTGTAATCTCTGTAAGTACTGTAATATGAAGTACAGTACTGTGATATTGAGAATTTTAAATTGATGTGCAGGTAGAGGATGTGAGAAAGAATACCCAGTACTGTATATGGAGTGCTTGTTAGTCCTCAGTGACCTTGTCCTGTAACTAATACAGTATTTCTTTTTTTTATTTTTCTGTTAAGTGTCTGTAGTGTATCACTTTATGCACTGCATACACAGGTGGTAGAGGAATAACAGTAATAGATAGATAAATTTATATACAGTATTGTACCAATGTTTTGAGTAAATAGGATTCTAGAAGTGAAATTATGAAGTAGTACAGTACCTGTACATTGTATAATTATAGGTGTGAGTTTTTTTTTGTGGGGGGGGGATTATGCTAATGAATAATAAGATATTTGTATTTTGTAGTGAGCAGATTTTTAAAACTTCTTTCCATTTATTTGCAGGTATATGTGAAGGAGGCCGAGAAGTTAGCCAGCAGAAAAGAGTTTAAGGGAAACATCCCATTAGTGGAAACTTCCTCTCATGAAAATGTCAATGTGGACTGTGCATTTATGACATTAGCACATTTGATAGACCGCAATCGAGGACGTATTCGTATTGTTCCGTTTTATGAGGCAGCGAGACATAGAAAGGAAATTCTTGATGTAGCAACAGATGCCTTCCAAAGATTAGTGCGCACTCATGTTCTCGACTACCGGTCTATATGGGCCTCAACTAGTAAAAAACTTGCTCAAAGTTCTGATTTTATACACTATGTGGACCTCTTTGGTATGGACCAAGCGGCCAAACTGTTCCGTCGACACGTCAAGAAACTCAAAGATGAATACCTCCAGAGAAAAGTGGAGGCATATATGGACATGCTGCCCTCCATTCTGCGTGAGTTCTTCCCGGACCTGCAGAGTTTAGAGGATGGGTGAGTGTTATGTGCCTTTATGCCTCAGAAAAAATAGTTCAATAAGATACTGTATTGGTTTACAGATGTGATTTACTGTTTACCAGTATTGTATTTGTACATATTCTATTATGGTATATTTTGTGACAAATTTTAATGAAGACAGTTATATTTTCTTTCATGTGACTGACTGACAGCATACAGTATTATGTGATGAATAATATTTCTCCGATGATCTTGTTTGACGCCTTATTATAACAGTTGAACTCGGGTAAAACAAGTTGTCAGAATACTTGGTAAAGGAAAATTAAATTGATCATCTGCTTGTTAGTTATGATTGCAAGATTAGTTGAGTGAAACCTGCCATTCAGACACAGTAACAAGGGGATGTGTGTCTCAAGTGCTTAGGTTGAAGTGGGAGTGAAGTATTAGTGATCACCAGTAGAACCACACAAGAGATTAGGAAGGGTTCTTGTCACCAGTGGTAGCTAGGGTTGCTAAAATGATTAGACTGCTGAATTTGAGAGGCTGAAAATATCCACCAACTGAATTGAGGCTGATTGGTAGATGAGATGGAGCTTAAAAGATACTGTACAAGAGGAGATTAATCTCTTTAATAAATTAGAAAGAATGTGGGAGAGAGAATACAGGAAAAATAACTGATTCTGAGTAGTGATGGTAGGAGATGAAAGAGCACACCAGTACAGTATATTTATATATGTGTGGTTCTTTACATGACCAGAATATCATTGGAGGAATTAGGTGTTGTTCAATTGAGCTGAAAGCCTTGGTGGGAACCTAAGTAGGAGTTACATTTTCACCTACAGTATTTTAAACCTTAGGTATATGAGGTGTAAAGGTAGTGAAAGATTCATATCACCAGTGGTAAAGGTTTTAACGTGCACATTTCTGTGAAGTTTTTGTTATGGGTCCAACTGCCATTACAGTAGTTTATTTTTATTTTTTTTTAAATGTTACCATTGACTATCTTACTGCTTGTTGTTATTATGTTCTTTTATATACACTTGTCTAGCACCTTGTAATATAATTAGTTACTCTTTCTTTCATTAATCTTGTGTGGCAGCTTGTAATTGATATCATATTAAGACCTTGTGTGATACAGGATGTTGTAATCTAATTAAAAGGGTTTGTGATGTCATTGTGGATAACTTGAAAACACTGGGGAAAAAAAAACCTCTGATGAATTGAAATCATGACATCAAAAGAATGAAATTAGTCCTGCAAAATTTTGGGATAATAAGTCATGTCAGCTGAAACTTTGCTCATCTTTTTCAGTTATGGACAGGTGTTGACACTGGCAGGGTGATAATAGTGTCTGTGTTGATCAGTTATTTGCTATACTGACTGTACTGTATTGAAGCATAATTATGTGGGGAAATAATACAGTGTTGTCTACCTCATTCTACAACTCAATTAATTTTTTTCATTTTAATCGAAAGTAAATATTGGTATAATGTATTTAACATCCCTAAGTCATTGTTACTGTAGATCCACCACCATGTTACTGTAGGTCCAGCATCAAGGTACTGTAGGTCCAGCATCAAGGTACTGTAGGTCCACCACCATGTTACTGTAGGTCCACCACCATGTTACTGTAGGTCCAGCATCAAGGTACTGTAGGTCCAGCATCAAGGTACTGTAGGTCCACCACCATGTTACTGCAGGATAAGTTTATGTTCACAGGTAGTCATCTTTTTTAAACATTGAAAGCAGTAAGTGTGAAGAATCATCCTGAACATTGAGTTGCTTTTAAGTCACCCCACAAATGGGTTCTTCAGACTGGAATAACAGGCAGTTGATACGGGTTACTCAATAATAACAGATACAGGTATGTTGCAAAACAAGAGGGTTGGTAGTTCTGAACCCTTGAAATTGGTAGGCTTGGGCAGGTCAAACGTACTGTAAGAATGATTAGGTTCAAACATTTCCTCTAAAAATTTGTAATCTAACCTAATCTAAGGTGACAAACACTGGTAGTGCCTAAACTCTGCCAAAACAACAACCAAACAATGAAATATACTCGGGGGGGAAAACATTTTGGAAGGAAGCGCGACGACATCATTCAATGTAGTAAATAGAATACTCCTGTATACCGGTATACTGTACTGTATTGACATGAAAGATTTAAAACATACTCAAGAATGATTCGCTTAATATCTATAAAATATAGAAATATATTTTTCTTGAAAAAAAAATTACTACCTGTATCACCAAAACATTTTAACATAAAGAAGTTCATAAGCTACCAAGCACCTTTCCCTCATCTTAGATCTTTCCTATGTACAGTACTGTATTGGAAAATTGAAAATAGTGTTACATTAATCTATCATGAACAAAGTGAAATACTTACTATACTTAAGGCTACAAGAGGATGATTGCCAGAGTGTAATGTTTGAAATTTTTGATAAGTGTGACGTGTGAGACGAGTCACGAGAGGTCTTCACGGTTGAAGGTAAACATCACGTGGGTACAAGTTGGCTTCTTTGAAATATGTACATTTCCTTTGGAATGGTAATTAGGAGATTCAAGTTCTTTTTTTTATTATTGTCTCATCATAATTGACATAGTATACTTATTATATTTTAGACCTTTTTTCCTTCATATTTAAATAGAAAACAAGTCATTCAGGTGGGGGTAGGCACCTGAAGAATTAGCTCGAATGGTCCAATAACCATTCTCTGATAACTAAAAAATAGCCCGAACATTTGGTATAGTATTAAAAAAAAAGTAAATGGATTACGGCTTGGAGAGTCAACTTTGGGATACAGTACTAATTAGTATCCCCAATGTATTGTATAGTTTAATGCAAGAATAATGTTTTTTTTGGGGGTGGAGGTGAATTTGAGGTAGTACTGTATTAAGTTTTATAGTTGGAAACAAAGAAAGGTACTGTACTAGTTAATATCTATGAATGTTAGAGTAATGCGAAGTATATTTCTGTTATACTGTACATTACTAAACTTCCTATTAAGTGTACGTAACTTGATGTCAGTTAACAGTGCTAATATATAATTTCCTGTGTTTTTTTTTCCAGTTCAGAGGATACAGTGCTATGTAGAAAGTATTAATCATATTAACTACGGTTTATTTCTGTTCCAAATACAAATGTCATTAATAATGAAAATCAGAAACTTTAGCTATTCATAACTCTGAAGAAAAGTGTAATTATAAATGTTATACAGTATCTGATGGTTTCCATGTGGTGACTGTAGTGTATCATAAAGGTGGTGCCTTAACCTAGAGGTGGTAGAAACAGTATTACAGTACAAATTTAGGGATAAGTATAGGTGCTGTATTTAATTAAGGTAACCTTGTCATGAAGGTGGTGCTTGAACTAGGATGTGACTAGAACTGTGTCTAGAATTTACCTTTCCAACCAGAAATTGCACTTAAATAAAAGCTAATACAGTCCTGTATTTGTAATAATACAAAACAATAATTTAAAGTCTATAAGAACCTTTTAAAAGCACTCATTTGAAATATACAGTACAGTTATAGTACAATTTTTGTATTTAAGTCCACAGTAGCCATATCCTGTCAAGATGTTCAGAATATCTAGAATTATGTACATATTGTACATGTAATTGAGTTCATTGCAGATTGGAAAGGAAAGTTGTGACATGGATTATGAGTAGCCACTAATGTACAGTACGTTGTATTGCTAAGAGCCTGACAGTTCCCAGACCTCCGCTCGCTGGCTCATATTGGGCGTGGCCACAAATCCTTGCATCACGCACAGCCAACAAATGTTCATAAAGAACACATTGTTGTTGTCCTGCAGCTTTGTTAAACCAAAAAGTCTAAACCACATTTTGGATAATGTACCTTGCATCATCAGTGGGTGAAGTTTGGATAATGCAACCAGATTTGGATGACACAACTTGTGTCATCGGCCAGCAAGAGGGTGAGAATTGTCCATCTGTTGATAATACAAAAGGTTTAAGGACAAAACTATCAAGAAGGATCCTGGGGAAGAGTCCACATCTTCATCTTGTTTGTTTGGAAAATTCTGCAACAAAAAATTGCATAACTTATGCTCTACTTAACCCCTTCACAACAGGGATGCCACTTTTAATACAGTATTTTATTTGGCTAATGCCAAACAATTTTATTCTGCTCAGAGGGGGCCCCATACACAAGGGGTTAGTAGACTACAGTGTATCTCCACTAACCCCTTCACTATGGGAACACCATTTTTAATATTTTGTTTGGCTAACACCAGACAATAGTACTCAGCTCAGGGGGCCTGTACTCAAGGGATTAATGATACATAAGACGTGTTACATAGCACTGAATGATACAGAAGACAGTGTTTAGCACAGTTTACAGGAGACATGGTATGAAGCACTACTGGATACATGGGGCAAATGTGAGGTAATATTTATAGCATTATTGATATCCAAGTTACTGTAAGTTGTTGGACTTTGATCTTAGATAATAGAGTATGGTAACATTTCATATTGTCTACAGATATTTTATTTATGTTGTACAGCATATTTGTGTTTTATGTCTTCAGATATAAATTCCATCAATTCCTGAATTATAATACAGTAGACCCTTGCTATTAACGATTTCGACGATTCGCGGTAAGCAGATGGTGGCTATGGTGGCTAGCTTGCAAGCCTTTTCCTGCAGCACAATGAGTCACCCCATGCAGCATCCAGTGTTGAACTCTCAAAACTTTAGTGTTTCTGTGTGAAATGGCCCCTAAATGACTGCCTAGTGTCAGTGCTAGTGATGCTAGTGGAGTGAAATGTAAAAGACAGAAGTCAGTGATGACCCTGACAAAGAAAGTTTTATTATTAGATAAGTTAAAAGAGAGGACGAGTGCTGCTGTGACCAGTCAGTTGTTTGGTACAGGTATACAGTAGTGCACTAAGGTAGTATAAGTTGCTATTCGCGGTTTTGCCAATTCGTGCCATTTCTTGGAACCTATCCCTCGCAAATGGCAATGCCGAGTATTTAGACACATTCAGTTGCATTTCAGTAACTTGCAGTTTTGAAGATGGGCCAAAGTTTCTAAGAGAGTAACTTGTCACACTCACCAGTGCTTTATGTGTTGAAATCTTCCTCCTGCAGGGATTGGCTAAGTATACAACAAAGGATAAGTGAACATCCAGACTTTGATCGATACTTCCTGCGCTGCAACGAAGACATCCCGTGGTCAGAGAATGCTGAGCTCCTCGACTCGGCTGACACTCGTATTCCATTTGACGTCCTCGACTCCAATGAAGCAGAAACGGTGTTCAAAAATCATGTTAATGCTCTCCAGGCAGAACTGGAGATGAGAGAGTGAGTTTTGAGGGTTCATATTATGGTGAGAATATAATGGGCTGTTCTTAACAGTCCTGTTCAGTACATTTACTAAATTCTTTATAACACAAAATAATGTGAATTATTGCAAGATGTGTTCTTAACGTTTACACTATAGTGGGATAGCGTGGTAATTAAAATATATATAGACCTCTTCATACCATTATATTGACATCTCTCCTGCCTTCATGAACACTGTGGATGTAGTCAAGTTCAAATTGTCCCTTTGCTCACTAGGAAACACCTGTTGACTATATATTGCTCTCTATACAGTACAGGTATCCCTCATTTTGAACATCTAATGGATTCTTGAAAATGAAACTTTAAATTACAGTATGTGTTATGATATACCTTTACCTTAGACATTCAAACGTTAAAGAATTATATAAAACGTTAAAGAAACTGAAGCTAAAAATGAGAGTACAGTACTGTACATTACTGTTTACCAATGGAAAAAATGTTGAAAAAATTATTTTCAGATACACAAACACTAACAAGATTAAGGCTTTTTCTTTGAAACTTCCTTATAATATGTACACCAGATGCAGCTAAGCCTATTCAATTTCCAATATCAGTCATAACTGGCTACTCACACAAGAGTGGAAAATTACCATAAAACATTGATGATGATGATGAATCACACAGACACCTTGTTCAAGACGCCAAAACTCATTTGACTTCCTTTTAGTTGTAAGGGGATTGGAAGGCTCATTTTCCTTATGCATTATTAGGCTTAAATTTACAGTTCCAATACCTTGTGTAGTATTTGATCACAGTTATTTCCCAGTAGCTGTTACTTACACACAAAGCACTGATTTTAAGTATTATTGTACAGTACCTGTACAGTGTATAAAGTACAGTATAGTATATAGATTCCAGTGGCGTGTCATGAAAAAATGCTAGGGTAAGCAAATGACACTGTTAATGACATTTCATTATACTACAGTACTACATTATCAAGTACTATGAGTCTAGTAGTCTAAGAAACTGCGAAACAACAAAAATTTAGATAATTAGTACTTATTTTTCATTTGTATTCACTTTGTACACATGTGAAGTTGGTTCAGGACTAGAAAACGTGCAGTACAGTATTGCAATAAGATTTTTATATTTGAAATAGAGGAACGACTTGAATTTTAAGTCATCATAAAAATTAACTTAACAAGTGTCATTTGAATATGGATGCAGGTACTTTAACTCCTTATTTGAGTTATGATGTGGGAAGGTTAGTGTTAAGGGAGGTGCTGGTTGTAAATGAAGACAATATTAAATACACCCAGCTTTATATTAGAAGAAATGTGACCAACTTTGAATTCATACAACTTAAGGTTTCTGTTAATTATCATTGGGACTAAAACTTATTTAGTTTAAGTGCTTCACGTGTGCACTATTTCACTAAAAAAATTTGACATAGTGGTGGATAATTCTTGTTCTTGCTTTGGCAGTACTGTACATACACTGTTTGAGTGCACTCACCTCTCACACACTGTACATATTTTTGTGGGTTATTGTTGCTTGTGTACTGTGGACGAAGGTATTGGTGGGGTATCTATTATAAAAAGGTGTCAATAGGGAAACTAAACTAAATTTATCAAGATTTGATTTCCACTCAGATTATGTTGGCGAGGAATAGATGGTATGGAGTAAATCCTTATTTTATATCCCCTGAGGTACCATACCTACATCCCACCCCTGGTATTGAAATCCAACTCGACTACAACACCGAGTTATGTGTTCCTCCACCTTATCCACTTGTTTTGTTTAAGAAATACCATTTTACACTTGTACATCAAGTGGTTGTAGTTAACGACCAGCCAGACGTCGTGTTGGTGTATGACATTTTTAATACGTTCTCTCTGGTTTTAAAGCAGAAAGTAGTCCTTGATCAATCTTCCCTAAATACTGTACAGCTCTTGACAAACCTTAACAAAATAAAGGTTCTAAAGTTCAAGCAACAGTAGACAAAACAGTTCTTTAAAATCATGAATGTTAGTTAGTCACAATAAGAGTGAAGACTGAGAATCTTCATTAATAAATAAGAAAACTGGGTGAGGGATGAAGTTAAAGCAAGATGGAATAATTGACATGTGGTAGAGACAAGGGTAGTTTGTTGTGAGACTTTTGTTTCAAAGTGAGTGGATCTTAAGTGAAAGTCCCTTGTGAATATATTCAAGGAAGTGTTCTGAGAATAGGAAGTTGAGGTAAAATTAAAATATTTTTTAATATTCTGTAGCTTAGAATCTTTTGAAGAAACTTTTATACAAAAATATTGAGACTAACGGTGTTTCTAAAAAGGTTGGCGATGTGTCCAAATTTTAACTATGAAATTTGAATATATGACAAAATGTCTGAATACTTAATTATTAAAACGTATAACTTGAATTTTTTTTTAGAAGATCAATACATTAGTAGATTGAATTTTCTGTGGAAGTAAATACTGGGCTATGGGAGTAGTTTCCATTCAAGTAGAACCAATAGTAAAGTAATAAGTTATGTTTGAGAGTACTGTATATGTTCAGGTTAATGCATTGGTGGTGTCATTCCAATGTGCTTAGATTCCTCCCTGACCTGTGATAATTCCACACACACCTACATCTCAACCCTCCATAAAATCTCCTTATCTCAAAACACAACAAAATCTTGGTGAGTATTAAAATTTTTTACTCATCTGCCTACCTTTTAACAATTCTTTTTTACCATAATGGTGTATAATTTAAGTGTATGTTATGATTTTAATTGTCTTTATATCCTAAGAGTGTTTACATTAGTATCCCCACCATTGTGCTGCCAACTAATCCTTTGATTCCATTCTCACGCCATCCTTCAGGCTACCGCGAAGGTACGGTGATAAACCTCTGTGTGCATGCCACAACATACGTAGCTCCCCCTCACCATAATGCTCTTAATTTTGGTGTATAGCATTGTACATTTTAGCTGTATGTTGTTCTGTGGGCAAAATTCTCCTGTTTCTTATGCTTAGGCAAGAGGCAGGTGGACTGCTAACAGAACACCACAGCTGAGAATGCACATTTTTCATCAGTTTTGTTAATACAGTACAGTACTAGCTGTTTGGTATCATGTAGATAATGCGCATCTGTTTCTCAGTCTTATAATTATTGACTTTTAGGTAATGGTAGCTAATATACAATTGATTCTTATTCTGGAGTTATTATTACTCTTAGGTAATGTAGATGCAAGCAGTCAAGGTATGAACTTTAACGTACTGGTCTTTCTTAGCTAAATATTTGACACCTTTCTTCTTCCTAGTACAGTACAGTACTGTAACTGTAGAGCCATTTATTAATTAAACATATTTTGATCATTACTCTCTCTGGCTTTTAGTGTTTACGGCTGGTAATGTGATCTGCAAAGACTATTATTCTGGTGTGAATTATAGACCATTTTGTAAGATATGAATTTTGTAGACTTTGAATGGTATCTTGGATAATGTTGGTTATAGATCAACAGGTACAGCTTAGTTACTTCTATAAGGTAATGTTAATGGTATTTAGCTTTTTTATTAACCTAATAATACTCTGTCTGATGTAGGTAAAAGTCAGTAGAGTATGTTATTGACTAGAGAAAGAGCATGGGGTTCATATAGTGTAGAGTACCAAGGTTATTTAGTTTATTGCTGAATATTTTATGGTGAGTTGTAGGGTCCTGTTTACTTTGTTACTGAGTGTTTATTAGAATCTTGTGCTGAAAAAGTTAATCCTCTTAAATGAGGTACAGTACAGTATTGAATAAGTTATTGTTATATATGATAAGGTGTTACAATTGTCTTTAGTGCTGCCTTAGTATATAATTTAGATGTTAAACTATGAGGATGTGTATAATGTATGTTCACTTATTCACCACCATGTGTAGTGCAGGTAGTTTTGTCTTAGGTACATTACTGACCCAGGGTATGCACACAGTTGTCGGTCTTTGTACCTATTGTCACATCCCCGCTGCCGCATGTAATAAATAATAATAATAATAATAATTAACGGTTTATTGAAAGAGCTTGGCAGCCAGAAGGCTGAAAATATACAGTTACATATTTGGGGAATGGGTTACGAATTACAAATACTGTAATATACAAGTAACATAAGTGACACAAATAAGACATATAATAACTAGATGTGGAAAAGCTCAGACTACAGTTTAAAGCGTGTGTTTGCCACTTTAAGATGGGATGGGGAGGGTGGGGTCCTTGTCAAACACCAATACTTCTGGTGGCCCATTCACTTTTACACCTCCATGTTTAGAGCAGTCTGTGTGTGTGGGTGGGTGGGTGGGGGTGCGTGTGTTTTCAGTGATGTAATACACAACACAATTGTTGATTCATTGATGCAATTATGTCTGCCCATTGATGTTACATTATGGGACAAGACCAAGCGTGTCCAATAACGCCCCTTTTTGGCTGAAAGACATCACTTTCACCCCCTTCTAGCCTTTGATTCATTGTCACTCACCCTTCTCTTAGGTGCCTTTATTAAGGGTAATGGTAATCTCAAAAAAAAAAAATTAAAAGTGTTGGTGTTGAATAGCAGAGGGCAGCATGGTGTTGAGAGAGTGAGTGAGTTTGGAGTGGGATAATACATCCGTCCATCCACCTTGCATAAGTTAATGTGGAGGGAAATGGGAGTGCTGTGGCCAGGAGTATGACCCAGCTGTGACCTGCAAATACAGGTGTATACAAACATCTGGATGTAGAACCTCTTAATAGTGAGGGTCTAGTTTATCAGTAGAAGTCTTCTCATGCAAGTCTGTCCTTTTGTCTCAAGTGTGTGAAAAGATAATAAGTGTGTAACATGGCTAATGCATGTGAAGGTCTTCATGTTCACATTATTCCTGTGAGTATTAGTTAAGGGTACATGTAGATGATTGGTTTGGCTTCATAGCTTGGATACACATCCACACATCAAGTATTAAATTGGGATGTGTGCAGATGATAGGCTGGGCGTCCTTGATCAGGGATGCATTACTGTACAGTATATAGAAATGAAAAGGATATTCAGATGGAGTACAATGATAATATTTTATGAATCGTGTTGAGGGAAGAGAAGTCTTAGAGTAGGCAATAAGATGGTAGGATTGTTTACTGAAGTTGTTTGGGAAGTGGTACTAATAAGTAAGATTGTTAGAAAATGGCTTTGTTGGATAGGACGGTAAAAAAAATTATTGTTTGGTGTGATTTTTGGAATTGGGGCTGTTTGGTAAAGTTGTTGGGGGGATGGGAAGGACATTATTTAAAGACTAAAAACTAATAAGTCCTTGAAATGTGCTGATAGTAATAAAAGCTCAACAGTTTTGGTGCTTGTTGTGGTCATTAACGGTTTAATGTGAGGTGTAAATATGGGTAAATAGATGCTGTCTAAGTCTTGTTCTAAATGCAGTAAGATTAAACTTGTTGGTTTTTGTGGTGAGAATGTAGGTAGTTTGGGCCTTCAGTATAATGAATATTAAAGAGAACTTGGTTCACTATATGGTGACATGGTAGGTAGAGTTTGAACAGAAGTTACAGACCTGAGAATTTTTAAGTTTAACATGTTCAATTTGGTTACTTTGGTAAATCTGGTAAGAAAAGATCAGAGAAACTTATGTGACTGTTTATAAATACCTAAGATTAAATGCTGATTTATTTATTACTATTTCTTTTTTGCACTGTACATAATATGTTTGCCACAAAACCTTAACTGTACTGTAGTAAAATTACATGCACAGAATTACTCAGAATGTACCAAAGGTCATCTAAAAACCCATTGGCTTCTAGGCCCTTCAGCAGGTCTCAAACCCCCAGCCCACTGAGTTGTACACCTTGGCTTTACTTTGGCTTAATAGTTTTTCCTAAAATGTGTTCTTAGGCCTAGAAATTATACAGTATTTAGTTTTTTTGTTGTGATGGGTATTCATGGGGCATACAGAAATTAGATAGATTATAATAGATTTGATGACAAGGTAAGTCAGGCTTACATGTGTGTTGGGGCATAAGGAGTTTTGAGGTATCATAATAAACAGGGTTTATTTTGCAAATCCGTTGCTTTTTACCAACTTCTCCTTATGCCTTATTGATGAAGGCAGCACTATGCTTCAAAGTACTTTAGCTCTTCGCATCTTTTTTAGCTGACAAACAATTCAATGGTTTTCTGTTTGTTAAGTTTTATTTGTGCTGTTAAACTTTTGAAATTTAAATTGATTTGTTCGATGATCTCTTTCTTAAAGGATGCGCGACAAGTTCAAGTTATTGCTGGCAGAAACTGGGTATGTTACGCCGGGCAAGAGACTCGACGAGGTACGTGTCCTCTTTATGGGCAGAGAAAGCTTCGACTCACTCTCGGAACATGATCGTCAGTTTATATACGACCAACACCAAAAGGACATCACCGAGAAAGCAAGACAGAATTTCCATGTAAGTTAATCCATTTTATATTATAGGTTCTCTGGTTGTGGTCAGTTGTGAGGGTAGCATAATGAGTGATGCCCGAGTGTGGTAAGACTCGGTTCAGCGTCAAATGTTCATTATGTCTGTCTTTCTTTGACAAATGGTTTCTACCTAATAAGTTTCTATTAATTTTGTTGATTTGTTTAATTTTGATATGGATGTGTGTTTTGACAGGTTCTTGGTTGAGGTGTGTGTTGCTTCCTCAAATAACTTGTTTCTTAGTCAGGGGGATCACCTTTTTGTGGTGGCTCTTGTTTAAAGTGACTGATTTTTTAATTATTCCATATACTGTTTATAAATATTCAATAAACCGACTTGAATAAAAAAATTAAATTAAATTAACTGAAATTTTCCTGAAAAGTTGAATCATTATGAAGAAATGTACCTAATGTAAAAACTGATTGGAAAGGCTTTAATTTTGTATTTATTTTCCTGGTAATATTTGTTTGACAGGAGTTATTACTGGAGCAGGCAGAGTTGTTCTACCACGTGAAAAGCATCGCTCCCACTGGCACCATCACCCAGGAGGACATTCGTGACATAACTCAGACCTTGCAAGAAGATAGCAGGTGAGAGGGTGATCTTAGGTCCTGCTTTGGTTGTCCCTCATAGACTGGTATTTCAGGTATCAGGTAGAGATGTTGAGGTTAAATAGTGTTTGGGCCAGATTACAGTAGCACCAGATTCTGTGGTTGTGTCTTTCAAGGTGTATACTGTACTGTACTCCATTCAGTATCTTTTATATGACACATCACTAGATAATTCTGTATCACACTTCACCACTTTTTTTTTTTTTACGGGAATTAGCCCACTCGGACACAGGTTAAACGACCCACAACGGGGCCTGGGGAGCGAAAAAAAAAAAGAACTGAAAGAAATTGAAAATAGAGAAGTAAAAGGTTATACTTTGTTAATCTACACCTCGAAGATGCCAGAAAACCAGCTTTTTAAAGTGAGACAGATTGTATAAGTACGGAAACACAGAAGAAGGCAGAGCATTCCACAGTTTGGCTGTGTGAGGAAAGAAGGAGGTACTATAACGGGTTTTTCTCGTGTGACCGACATCCACAGAGAAACGGTGGGCACAGCGGGCAAGACGTGTGTTACGAGCCCACCGTCTTGCCGGCAGTACACAGGATGTCAAATCCACCGAACATTGCCCGTTAAAGTGCCTGTAAAAGAGAGAGAGTGAAGCAACATTGCGGCGAAGAGAAAGGGAAGAGAGATTGTCGACTAAAGGGGGAGAGTTAATAAGATGAAATGCCTTTGAATCCACCCTATCTAATAGTTGGACAGAAGAAAAGCCACCCCAGATATGAGAGCAGTACTCCAAGTTAGGACGAATGAATCCCTTATATACTTGGAGCAACTGCTCAGGATTGAAGTAGCTACGGCATCTGTACAGCATTCCCAACTTGCGGGAGGCAGCTTTAGCTATATCAAGGATGTGTGATTTCCAGGACATTATGTTTTACTCTGCAGTTTGTGTTCATTAAACCCAGCTAGTAATTATTTGGGGTTGTATTGTTCTGTCTGTTGGTCCATCTGTCCATTTATCTGTCTCGTAGTAAGGTCTAGAGTTTGCGTAATTGACTCCTGTGCATTTCAGAGAATTATTCTGAAACTGTGCAGCATTGTTCCTCATAGCTTGAAGACATAACAGTTGTTTTTATTTTATACTTCTGTGAATTATATACTTAATCATACTGGGTTCATTTATATCACACCAACATAGTTCTTGTTTGTATTAGTTTCATATATAGAGTGTGTTAGTAGTGAACATCATTCTATCCATGCTAATGTTTTGTCACAGTGGCAAAATTTCCTTATGGCTCACAATACACCCTTACTTTTTTCTATGGCATATCTTGAGGTTCTGTAAGTTGTCCCATCCTGATCTCTCACCACCTACTCATCATCACCATATAACCTCTGTTTTTTATTTCTATTTGTCCCTCTCTGGTAAATTACTTTTATTCATTACTTTAGTCTTATTAAAGCTCTCTTTCATTGTTGTCATGTTTTATTACCATCCTTTCTACCATATAAGCAAGAGGATATTGCTTAGCTTGTGTGAGGTTTACCCTGACAAGCTTAACTCTGCCAAACTTTTGCTATCCTGTTGAGCTCCTACAGCACTGTGTCATCAGGTGTGCCATGATGAGAGTGTTAAGAAGTTTTCAGTGTGTAAACCCTGACTGGCATATTAAAAAATGGCTAACTAGGTATTTATAGTTTTTTTATTACTGTACAAATACGGAAAGTACCCTTAAAGGTTCAGAAGCTAATATATGTAACTCCCCCACATTGAGTGAGGTGGGAACCTTGCCACTGAAGAAATTGGTGTTGACTAGACTTGGCCACCATCTTAGAGTGTACAAATATTAGTACTATCTTGTGGCCCTGCTCAGCTGCAGGGTTGGATCTGTCCCTTACTTGAAAATTTCAAGTGCTACTCAGATTAGTTGTGCATCCTGTGCTACAGTTATTTACTCATAGTTTGGAGATGAAATTATGTAACAATGCTTACCATATACATAACAAGGAATAGTTACTCAAGGAAGAATGTTGCATTTGGTGCTGCAGAATATACCAGTGATGTCCACTGTTGGGTCCTTCATGTGCAACATATCCTGCTGTACATTTGGTAAAATTGTAATGATTTTGGGATTCTTCTTTACCTCTGCAGCTCGGGCTGTGCCCAAGCTTCCTGGCTGGCCTTGTGATCTACTTGGCTGTTGCTATGCGCAGCCCACAGATCAGCTCGATAACTACTACATCCCTGCTTCTCAGGTACATTTACTGTGGTAGTTGATTGAATTATCTTGGTCATCTGAAGTGGAAAGTTCCTTGTGATGTTGTCTATGTTAGGTTGGGTTGAGTTAGGTAATGTTGGTGGATTTTCATCTCTCATTCTGGCATCATGTTACTCTATGTATTGCTGTGCTTTAACAACTAAGGTCTTTAAGCACGTACACAAAGTCTCTTGTACACTAGAGAATAGTTACAACAAATTTAGAGACACTGTACAGTATATCCCTCAGAGTTGTATTGGATCGTTTTCAGCTACATTGTCTTTCCTTCATGTTGTGTGAATTTTTCCTCCCTATATTTTCCAAAGTTTTATAGGGATACAAGTGTTGGTTTAAGACATTGTTGTTGTTAGTGACAAAATTGTGTGTGGTAAATACTGTATGTCAGGTCTAACTTCTAGTCATACAGTAAACCCTCTCAATACTGGACTGATTCATGCAATTTATGTCCTTCTTGGAAGGATTCCCTTAATGGAGGGCTTCTTTCTCCCCCCCCCCCTCTTTATAGTACATACAATAATACAGTGCAATAAAAGTTCCAACATAAGCCAACTGACCACATGGATCTTACTGGCTGATTCTGCTAATTATACCAGATGAGAAGATGTCCATTATTGGGAATATCCAGTATTGAGAAGTCTGTTATTGAGAAGGTTAACTGTATTTATAATTTTTCTTAGTACTGGAACCTGGACGGGTGTTGGTGTTTATTTAATGTGGAATGTGGACCCTTGTTAAGGATAACCTTTCTTATTTGTCTATCTTTTTTCCCCCTCATTTATCTTTGAAGAGCATTGTTTTAGTGTGGACAGTAAAATTAGTAATGTGCGGAAATATCACCCTTAACCCCTACGCCCCGGTTGACGTTCCGGAATGTTCATCTAGGGCGTTCCGGTTGATGTTCCAGATCGCATGCCTTTTTGTGCCATTGTTTGAATGCCCAGCGTGGGTTATCAGTTTCCAGCATGACTATTTGGTGGTCATGCCAAACGCAGGGTAGTGAGAGAGGGCTCAGTGCAGTTAGTACGCACTAGCCTGTTGCCTTGGAAAGTCGTTTGTCCATTTTATCATGTTGTATCAAAGTAATATTGCTAAAAATAGTGTAGTATTACTGGAAACACTGCTATGATTATGTTATAAATGTATTTATTTGTGGAATTATTATTCCAATAATTATTTATATGCATTACTTGCTCTACCAAACACAAAGACAGCCTGGCGATAGACTGCCTGTGTGTCGCCAAGCACTTTTTATGAAAAATAATGCAAATAAAATTAATTCTAAATGAATTATTTATAGCAAATAAGTATTAGGATCAGTAAATATATGCATTACTGGCCATCCCGGACACAAAGGCAAGCAGAAAATGGCCGCTAAGTGTGTAGTGACCACGAGAGCTAGCCGTCAAAACAACACTGTCCCCTTATCTCCCTCGCCACTGGTGCTACAGGGAAGTTTCTAGAGGGTCAATATATAGTTTTCTCATTTCTTTTTTTATTGTATTATCATTTAAAAAGGTTAACAATTATTTTTGGAAAAGTTGATTTTTTCTCGATCACCCTGCGTGAGGGGGTATGGCCAGCGGCACCTTAGCCCGGGGCGCAGGGGTTAATGATTACCATGAAATCACTACTCATTGTGACCGAGGATTACTACAAACCAGCTCATCCACATATACATTATCTTTTGGTCTAAGTTCATCCAAACTTAGAAATGCTGCTCTGAACCTTTTTTATTCACGTGTTTGTTCCTTGTATTACGATGAATTGTATCATCTGTCAATGTTTTCCAAAGGCCTCAGTGACACTCTACAGTAGTTTGTTCAGTTTCTTTGTTTCTCGTATATTTTTTATGTCCACAAATTTATGCAGCTGGTTTCTGGTAAATTCCATTATCAGCTGTCTGTCATCTTTTAACAGTAATTTCTGAATATTAACATCAGTATCATTATGTTTTAATGCTACTGTAGTATGATTTAACTTTCAGTAATTTGTCTCTTAATACCTTGACTTATTACTTTCTCTAACAATATCACTACTTTGATCATTGTTCTCCTATAAAACTACTTGGATGTGCTGTTGTAATGTAAGACATTTTCTTGCCTCTTGTAATACCTACCCTGCATTTTCAGCCACCTTCCCTAGGTAGATCTAGAGATAGGTTTTACGCACAGTATACTCAATAAGAATAACCAATCACTATTTGTGTTAGGCAACTTCTCCAAATACCAATGTGATGATCCCCACTGTTTCTTAAAGTGTTTTGTACTTTGCTCATCTTCAGTTGTGTAAGGGTTAATTAGAACATCTTATTGCAGATATAAGGCTTTGGACAGGCTAGAAAGTGAACGAACACTGTTGCTACTCCAGCACTTAGGCTTTGTCCACTGTCCCAAGAAAGAGCATTGTCCCTCCTTCCCCAACTGTATGGACTGCCTCATTGAGAAAATTATAGCTAATAAAGCTGCCAGGTATGTATTGATGTATAGGTTCTTTTAATAAACTTCTTTGATGTATTTAGTGTGCAATGATGGTAAAGACTTGATTAGCATCTAAAAGACATAATTTTGGATATGTTGTTGGAATTCAGGATTATGGGAGGTGAATGTGGATAAGCAGTGAATAATCTTGGAAAATTAAACTCATGATGAATGAGTCTGGTTACCTTAGTGGATGTTTAAGAGTGGAAAAGGGGAAAGTTTAAATAATTGTCTTTGACGAGAATGCTGAAACGTAAAAGAACAAATGAAAATTAATATTTTTTTATATATTTTCAGAATTAATTGTAGTAACTAAATTGTTGAAACAAGTAATGTGGATTTTTTTATTAATATTTATGACAAATACAAGTACAATAGCAGTGGGTATAAATAGAAGCAAAGATGTTTACAAAACTAATGCAATTCATAAATTGTAAATAGAGGAAAAAAGGTTATGTAAGTAATTTATATTATTATTTATTTAAATATACATCAGCCATCACAAGAACCCTACAGTATTAGGCAATGAATTACAGTACACACTTTCATAATTCTTAATTATCAAAGATCTTCTACACTTAATAGTAAGACGTTTTGTACATGAATGGCCAATCAGGCACCCTATATCATCTCAAGAGTTGTACTTCAAGCAGTATAAATTGTTTAAATGAAAGCTGTATCAGATACTCTTGTATATTATCTCAATAGGTTCTTTAAGTAGTAAAAATGTGTTTACACGAATTGCCTATCAAACATCCAATGGTGGTCTTATATTCACAGTAACAGTCGTCCAGGGTCTGGCACTTGGAGCAGTAAAAATGTAGATTATGGGGTTCGCAGTGACCCACAGGTCAACCTAGTCTTGTTAGGCAACCAAGGCTTGGCTGAAGATCTTCAGAATGTTATTCGGGTGAGTTTTTGTCATATTGTATGTATTTGTGCTAAAATTCATTAGATGATTAAGCTTTTGATTTAGCTGTGAAAAATTTAAAAAGGAAATGATCAAAGTTAGTTAAAAGTTAAAGGTGTATAGGCTAACTACACAAATGTGGAAAACTGCCATAAAATGGTGATGTTGATGAGGTCTTCATGTTTGACAGAGAAAGAGATTGTACTTTATATATTAATGACTCAATTGGTACTGGTAACTTAAAAATTATCTTGTGTAAAGTTTTTGCAGTTTACCTTAAATCAGATACTTTGAACAATAATTTTTTAGTATACATTATGTTCAGTTAAAGTGTAATTTTGTCACGAACCAGAAACACTTTTAGAGTGTACAGGATATCTGGTAGCGATTTTCAGAAAATTTATTTTGAGTTTCTTATTTAATTATGAGAAATTTAGTCTAGGTTAAGCATGATGTTGCAATTCTTAACCATTCACTTATTCTGTGGTTGGAAATATTTCTTGACAGTCTGTATGTGAGGATGATGAGTTTGAGTTGGACAATCAGATCTTCTCACTAGACTACCGCAGCATAGATGGAGATGTGTCACTCCCACAAAATTCCTTCAAGACTCCTGAATTCACTCCTCATGGTGAGATACTTTCCTTGTTTGCTTGGTAATTTTTGATGAGCTTTTTATTGGTATAGTATGATCAAATTTTGAATTATGGAATATGAGAATTTGGGTATAAATTTAACTTACCGGTAATGTTATATGAAACTTGGACTTAAGGTATTTTGAACACTTTTGGCTCCTGGAAGTTTCCCTAAGCTGAATAAAATCTTCTGGTGATAACCAGAATAAAAGTCTAAAGTGTGACAATCGGCTCAAAAATATTATTTAAATGATATATATTTGTAAGAATTTTGACTGTAAAATAATATTTTATATATAAAATTGTCTTCCCTTTGTCCAAGTGTATATTTCATATTGGGGGCCTGGTGTTTATCTTCTGAAAGGGTTTGCAAGATATTGGAATGACAGTTTGTGTGTGATTTTCCTGCACCATTGCCAATAATGTAATGAAGCATATCTCAGTCATGTCTTCACCAAAATTTGAACTTACATCATGGATGAACTCAAGTTGGAAATGCAGTAAGCACTGAACTACAGGTAGAACAATGTCAAGATCTTGGTCATAGAAAATTCTCAAATTACATTTTTTGCAATTACTCTGGAACAAAGCATTGTAGAAGGATGGGACTTATTGCATTAGATTCCTTGATGAAAAATCACATGAAATATGTCATTTATATTTTCCTCTATGATGTACGTTTCTCCAGAAAATAATTTGATTATTAAAAAAAAATGACGGATGGCAAAATGCATATTTACGTGTCATAAATCAAATCGGCTATAGGAATTAGCTGTGGAGACCTCTTGGGGTGCCATATAAAAAATTTTCTTTGATAGGTTAAAGGGCAATATCACAATAACCTAAAAGTTTGTTATTTATTAAGATCATCGTATCTAAGGAATGGCTAGATTTTTATATATATTTTCCAAAATTGGTTTGGAGACTTTTTAGTATCCTTCTTTGGTTCATAAAATAAAATGTGAGTGAACAAACAAATGACATCATCAGTGCCAGATTTCATTCCTCCGTGACAATAGTTTCACTGGGACCTGTTTCACATTGTGTGTACAAAATTTGAAGTGTTAAGGAGTTTGATGTTGGTCAGAAACTGAGTTAAATATTGAAGGCTCTGGGACTTACTATATCTACTTTAGATACTGTACTGGGGTTTGTAAATTTATGTGCTACTATCATAGTATTTATTTATTAGATATATATACTGTACTGTACTACTGCATATACAGTACTCGATTTTGGGGATAAAATTGTCCCTTTTAGAAGGCAAAATTTTACATCAGGAAGGCATCTCCAGTTATACAGTGGGTTTTAATGATAGAATATTATCATTTAGTTGAGTTTCACTTTGTGAAATACTCTTTAGGATTGTAACTTTTATGTTAAGCAAGAAAAGCCAGTAATGTTGATTTAGGAGGTACATTATGATTAATTGTGTCTGACCTCTGTTCACTATGATGACTGTGGTAGTGAAAGATAAGTGTAGGTTTAGGTGCTAAATTCAGTTGGAAGTCAGTCAATATTTTGTGGATCCTGAACATAATAAAATGCAGTACAGATGAAAATCCCCAATCAGATGTTTCTCAGAAGGGTGATGTTCAGTATACATCAGTGAAGTATTGTAGGAAGATGTACACTAGGTCCTCAAATTGAAATTTATAAATAAAAGTACTTGGTGAAATAGTTATAGATTTTTTTAATCTTTAATGTTACTCTTGATTCGGTAAATTACTGGTGCTCTTATAAAGGCTAAACCTTTTTTCTGGTTTTTCATTACTTTTCAGCATTTCTGTATTCTCCAGTGTATCAGTCTCATTTCCATCCTAAATATTCCTCAAAAGAAATAAAGTTTTAATTATCTCTATTCCCATATTATATTTTAATAAGACTTCTCATTAGTTCTCCTGAACATTTCACTCTAATGAAATGAAACTAGAATTTTCCTTCTCATATATTTTTCCTTGAATTCTCTCATCATTTGCTGTCATTTATTCTAACTGCAGTAACAGGATTGTGCCAGTACTGCCCCAAGATATCTACCTGATTTACCCCTGTTGCTTCATCATATTTGTCCTGTGACAGCTTTAACATTCCTGGAGGTTTTTCTGTTGTCTGAATTTTCAAAACCTTTCCAGTGCTAATTAACCGTTGAGCTTTGAAAAAGTTTGATAGACAGTACATGAACTTGATGTAACCTAATGGCCCAGGAGGTAGCCAGTTCTTTGCAGGAAACCTGTATTCCAAGGGGAGGTACTTGAGCTCCTTAATGGTCTTCAAAGAACTGTCACAATACAGTAGTTTTTCACCGTGGGTTTCCAAAAGTAAGAGTGATAGTTCTTATCCTCTGTTAGGATCTTGGTTTCTCTACATGCCAAGATTTTCTTGTCTGAATCCCACGACAAAAGTAGGGCTTGGTTTAGGCCAAAGGAAACAGTGAGATAATTAACAAGCTTATGTCACTTACTCTCATGATTAAGCTTGTGGTTTAATAATTAGTGAATTAACCACTGACCTGCTCTCAGGGATAGAACACCAAGATTGCATAGAAGCTCTGGTAAATCTAGAAATTCTTTAAAAATAATTATGTAATTAGTATAATGGTATTAATAAATCTGGCCCTATAAATGGAATCCTGATACTGTACTCCTTGCCATCTGTCAGCCACTCATAGAAAAACTAACATACAGTGGGGTATGCTATAACGAATCTAATTGGTTCTAGAACCTTGTTCGTTATAGCATTCGTTCGTTATAGGATTAATCCGTTCCAGGCCCCCAAATACAACCACTTAACACTGAAAAATATAATATAAAATTGTAAAAATTGTAAAAAAGTGCATAAATATGCATCTAAACCCCTGAAATAAAGAATATCATTAATACTTGTAATAAAAAGAACAATAAATTAGTAAAAAAAAAAAATGTTCGTTGTAGGAGTTTCATTCGTTATAGCATTCTCAATTTTATAGGTAAAACCGTTCGTTATAGGAATATTCGTAGTAGGATCCGTTCATTACAGCATACCCCACTGTACTAAATCCTCTGAACACTGATATCTATTAGCTTTCTTCACCATAATCTGCTTCTTTATTGACTTTTGTAACCTGTTTCCAAGCTGTATGAAAGAAATACTGTAAAGGCAAGTTAGCATGAAGTTGCATGTCATAGTATATTGAGCCTTTGAAGACTGTATGTGAATTGTGTCTTGGGTATTTTGTAAGTTTTATAGTTGGGAGGAGCCATGCTACAGTTACAGCTCTTCCCAGTTACAGTCACATTATTTTAATGTTTTATTAATTTCCATGTCATATATATTTCAAAATTTTCCACCATAGTTGTACCTAGAGCAGGTTAACTGTTGTTAGCAGAAACAATGGTATGTGAAGTCTTGCTATCCTTTTTACTGCTCTCTATGCCTCTGTCTTGCTTCTAAGTTTCTGTCTCTTGCACCTCAGTGAGTAGTTAGTTTATTTTATAAGTGATAAACACTTGCTCCTCAGTGAGTGGTTGTATTATTTTGTAAGTTAAAAAGCTCATTAATCTGTTATTATTTCCAGGTGTTGTGTGTGCATACAGCAATGAGGCATCTTTAGAGTACGTAAGAGAGTCATTGGAGAAATCATTACTGACCCAGCTAGAACGAGAGGAGTCAACTCCGACACCACCCATCACCGTCCTATTTGCTCCAGACCCTGATCTCGACCATAATGCCTCACAACACCTGCACGATGAAGGGGCTAACCTAGCAGATAGGTACGAAGGCATTGTTTTAGTCAAAGATTGTGATATGGATTATGTCTTGTGAACTTATTTTGCTGTCTAGGAATGTTGCTATTTTTGTGTATATATTTTAGCTTTTGCATATCATGCTTTTTTTTTATTAATGTCACTGTAACTCGTTTGTGTTCTTGTTTTTAATTTGAGCTTGCTCAAGTTTAGTCTGCTTGACATGTGCACTGAGTGTTACTCAGCTATAAGATTGTTTTTTTTTTTTACCTACATTAGACTTGAGCTTTAAAGGCTAAATCTAATATTATCCTAAAACACAGTCCCCCTGGCAGCTTGCAATGCACCTTCATGGACGTTGGGCCAAGCGTGGGAGGTGGGGAGGGGCGGAGGTTTGATAGCAGCTTGGTGACGAAGGCCCTTCGCTCCCTCATCACTAGCATCCAGCACCGCAATAACTCTCTCAACATTTTCAACTCAGCTGTTCTGCCCAGAGACTCACAGCCAGATATTAGGTGAGATCTTAAGCCCCAAAATGACTTAGAAATGTGAAATATTATTATCATTAATAATAAAATTAAGTACAAAGGTTGCAAGAGAATCATACTATGTTAGTTATGATTTTAAGAATACATCTTAATATCAGGCTCATGTTTTTTTCAGAATTATTATGTGTATGTTGTGTGGAGACCCATACTCTGTGGAGAATGTACTTAGTCCACTGCTCAGTCACCAGTGGTGTGTGGTGACAGGAGAGCAGTCCATCTCACTCCAAACATTCCTAGGTCAGTAGAAAGTCGTGTTTCATTGTACATTATGTGCTGTTCATGGGCTTAGAAGTTGAAGGTCTTATTTATCATCATCATCTATGTTTTATGACCATTTTCCACGCTTGGGTGGGTTAGCTGTGATTACCTGAAGGCAGCTCTCCATGCTGCATGGTTTCTTGCTGTCTCTCTTCTCAGGTTCTTAACTCTGTCATTTCTTACAATCTCTCCCCATGTCATTCAGAGCTACCATACCTCAGTGGTTCAGGTGAAGTTAAACTATTTATTTGCACCTCATGGCTTCTATCAAGTGGTACCTGTGAACCCAACATAAATATATGTACAGAGGATTTGTTATGGCCCTGCATGGAAATGGGAATCCTATAGCAGTCATTCTGTATGTTTGTTTGTATTTCGTACCATTGTCTATCTCTCCATCAGTCCATCCACACTGTATTAAGCCAAGTCAGCACTCCTAGTACCTAACTTACAGTGATGAAATATGGTATGTAAATCCTGCAGGTGATGTCGGTGTACTTTTAGCACTGTGATTTTTTTCAAGGCCAAGGTCATAATTATGATGGAAAATATTGTGATTTGTTTACTTTGTTTCGTGTTGCTCCCATGTTTTAACTCTTGGATTGATGTTTGAGCTTTTGCTTCTGTTGAATTGATGTTTGATTATTCACCGTCAAAGTTTATAAACTAAAGGGAAGTAGAGTCGCCCTTTACCAAATTCTGATCGACCTCTAAAATTTCAGATGACTGCAAGCGTCGTGTGGAGGTCATTGTGTCATCGTACCACGGTGCCAATGCATTTCGAGAAGACTTGGTGCATGGGTTCATCCTTGTGTACTCGACCAAACGCAAGGCATCTTTAGCCACTCTCAGGGCTTTCTCCGCAAACATTCCCAACCTTCCAATCCAGGTTAGTGGAAGCTGTCTTATGATTGAGTATTCTTGACTTGATTAACTGTTAAGAGGGGTTATTATTTATCAAGAATGCCACTTCAGTAGATTCTATTGTATGATTTAATTTATAATTTCTTCTTTTATCAGCTTACTAGCCATTTGGGCGCTTAGTCCGTTTTTTGTTACTTTATTATTAACCTTATTGTTTAATGTTAATATTAATCTAAACTCTTCAAGACCTAGTATACATTTAAAAGATTTAAGATTTTTTGGGTATGAAGGGAAAGACCGAATGTGTTAGGATGCATACATAGGTGTAGGAGGATTATGTGATGGATGGATGCATGTGTGGTGATGGGGACTTGTATGTGGGTGTATGATGAGTGAATGGACTTGTGGATAAAAGAATAATGTTTATTTAGACGAATGGTTGCATGGGTAGATGAATGGGTTCATAGGTGGGTGAATGGATGTGTATAGGGATTTTATGGATGAATGGATGGCAGGATAGACATTGCTAACTGCCTGTATGTACAGATAGTAGGATAGGTTAAAGTTGTTTGTTGGTTCAAGTCAGTTTTGTGGGTGAGACTGGTTGTGTGTTGAGATCATCCAGGACCAAAATGTAAAAAACGATGTTGTCTGACATTGAGAATGACTGCTTCAGTAGGGCTGTTATCTGAAATGAAGCAACTTTTGAACCATCCCTGTGATTTTTTTTCCATCCATACTGTGTATTCAAGAAAACCTGTTAATATAAGATGATATACAGAGATATGATTTATGAGTGTATTGTTGAAGCATCTCAATATATAATTTTTTTCTCGATAGATTTTGGCAATGACCGATACAAACAGCGCGTCTGCGTTTTTTGGGTCGGATATCTCCCAGCAGCTTATCACTGAAGGTAATGCTATTGCCGACAGACTGCAGGCACATTTCATGACCTCCACTGCAACTTGCCAACAGAAAAGTGAGTCCAGCCATAATTTGCATGTTATTTTTTTTATTTTATCCCCAGAAAGATTTTCTCTTTCTTTGTATTAAAATTTTGATAAAATATATTTATTGGACAAAGAATGGTGCCTACGGACAAAAAATAACTTGAATTTATATATATTACATGGCCCTAGAGTACTGTACTAGGTTACTTCCTAAGAGGTTAATAATAATAATAATAACAAAAACATCTTTGGCATAGTTGCACTGGAAGGAGAACCACAGCTACTTGGTTGTAACAGCTGCAGGATACAAGTCCTACTAGTTTGTGCATTACTGTACTACTTGTTGCATGTGTGTGTGCGTGTGTGTGTGCTGCAACAAAACCTTAAACCTCTGCACTTTCAAATTTCTTTTCCTCAAGCACAGTTCTTTGCTATGAAGCTTAACTATATATGAAACTCCAAGTCTTAAGAATTTATTCTTAAGACCCACTGACGAAATTCAAGGAGCAATATGTTTTTGCCTTTTCCTTTCATCTTTATCATGATAGTTTCTGCACAGTAATGCTACTTCATTTACATACATATTCACCAAACTTCACAAGTCACATATACCTCAGTTGTATTATACCCATTAAATTTGGGGTCAAAAGTTGAAGGTAGGACATATGTGTTTCACAAACACATTCTTTTCTTCTTTTTTGTTCATGTCATAAAAAAAATAAAATTGTTGGTACAATACATACCCTTTGTTTAAGGAAAATCATGTATTGATACATGCCCTTACATCTGTCATCAGGGTCACCTTGGCTACATTACCTCAGAAACAGTTACCTTTACATTCCCTGAAACTTGAATTATTGACTATGGGTTCACAAACTAGTTGAGTTGCTTAGGTTTATTTTTCTACTTTCTCCTTTTTATTTATAGATATGTATTTGTAATCCAGTTATGTTTTAATGGCAAGTTGGTAAGTATATTGTCATTCCATTCATACTCGCTCAATAGGTGATTGTTAGATATGATTGGCAGGTCGTAGAACTGGTTGGGTTTTGTTATCATCTTGGTCCGTGTAAAGCCTTGTTGCTCCCTAACTTTTGCTTTCATTGAGCCTTTCTCTTTTTTTTTCAATGAAAGTATTTACTTACCACACCATTTTTTTACTGGACCTGCATGAAAATGCTTTTATTTTTTTATACCCTGCTGCCAGTTTTGGCTAAGGGGTATTGTCGTCACCAATGTCGTGTGTGAATCTGTCTATTTGTCTTTCTGTGAACCAGAAATTTGTAAACAACTGCAGTATTCTTACTGTTTTAGATGGATCAATTTGAATCTAGGTAGACATCATTATTACAATTTAAAAATGTCTTATGTTTTTATATGGATCCCAGGGTCAAAGAGCAAGGCCTCATAGGTTGCCAGGATCAAAGGACACCAGTGAACTCCAATGGGAGGTATTCTACGATGAAGCAAAAGTAATGAACCTGATGGGTTATACCCACTCTGGATTCTCACAACTTAAGGGGGAAAAGACTATCCCCTTTGAGATCCTTGTTTTTCCTGTACTCATTTATGTTTTTCTGGTTTCAACTCAGTAGTAAAATGGGGATGTTGGTGACTGCATACAGAAATATGAAACAATGATTTCTTCTTACTCCCCCTTTACAGTCTGTTCCTCTCAGTACATTACTTTCTGAGCAATTGAAAGCCACACACACACACACAAAGAGAGGGAGAGAGTTGTAATATATATGTCTTACCCCTCCACAGCAAGGTCCCAAGTATTAGTGTTATTATCCCCTTGTGGCTACTAACCACCTAACATTGCCCATCAGCAGCCATGGATGAATTCAGAAAGTTAAATATTCCAGATATACAATACTTGACTTATAGATCTTTGAGATTTATGCCAGTAAATCAAAAGTACAATTGCTCAGAACAAATGCGGTATAAAATCTCAGAACTTGCCAGTGCTCTGTACCAAGGTAATATAGAGTGCGACATGCGTTGCCGAGGGTCGGATTATGTACAGCCAATCACAGTTAAATTAGCACCCGACGTACAATTGAGGCCAGTGATCGTAAGTTTTGTTCATTATGATCATCTTTGCTATTGATAGCAATTCATCACACCGCTCTGCTGGCCTTATATATAAGGAGGGGCCTTAGCGCGGTCCACCTCTCTATACAACAGGACGTCTGCAGGCAGAGTAAGGTGAGCTGCATTTCTATTATTCTGTGAGTTGTACACTACAGGTAAGGAAGAGGGGGAAGGGGAGGGTCATGCTGCTACAGGGTCTTCCACACATTTTATGGCAATTTTTGTATAAACTTGATTCCATCTTTTATTTGTATTTTCCTTTTTTCTTTACAGCTGCATTTTATACGCCCTTCTTTAAGGAGGTGTGGGATAAGAAGCCTGAGATTGAGCAGGCATTCAACATGGAGGATCCCTCTGGTCTGGATGACTCTGGTGAGGGCACCCTGGAGCGACCCCCTCACCACTACCACCGCAGCATCACACTGCCCCCACCGAGACGCAACCTTCCGCCCAGATCTCAGTCTGCTGAAGGGTGGGTGGTAATTGATTCAGTTCTAGCGTTTTTCCTGATGTAGCTCTAAGGACATGAAACAATAAGACGAAAATGTGTTCAGTACTGTTTAGAAATTTTAGTAACTGATGGGGATTACCATATTTCTCAGCGTATTAGGTGCACCAAACTTAGCAGGGGAAAAGAAAATGAGCAGCAGCAGCCTACTTGTTAGTGCAAATGAATCTTACTCTACCTTATATTGTAAATTACTGAATTAACAGCTGTATATTTTCAGCATAAGACTGCTGTATTTGTTAATAAACCATTAATAATTATTGTTATCTGAAAGTAAAATTAGCAGTGGTACAAGCACCAACTGTGGTGGTGTTTACTCTATCTTCAGAAAAAAATTGAAAAGAAAATTTGATTTTACTTTACCCAGTTTGCTCTATTTGTGATGTAAGAAATAGCTTTTCCTCTATGGATGCTTTCCGTTAAGTAGCTGGATATCTCGGACTAGTGCCTTTAATTACTACCACCATTGTTTTAGTTGGCGTCCTCGTCCCCCTGGGGTGAACCTTTAGTATGTAAGGCACACGGCGAGTTTTGGAGACATTTTTTTAAAGTGTATCTTATAAGGAAGAAAATGTGGTATGCTTTGCAATTTTCACAAGTGCCACTATGACCAAATTCACCTCTGTTATCAGTACATTTATCTCTCTCTGTTATAATATTTTCCTCTTCTCACACTCTTAGTGGATTAGTCTGTGAAATGTTTGGCAAGTATATTAGTTTTTTCCTCTCTACTCATATATACTAAATATTGAGCTGTGGCTTTAAAAAAATATTTACTTCAGAATTTTTCTTGTTGATTTAACTATCTAATGATATAGTCATTACAAGGGTAAACTAAGATATTTAAATGTGTAGAGGAAAGAGGCTGAAGTAAGGAAGATAAGACAGGAAGTTATTACTAAATTAAAGGATGAAGGAATGATGATGTAGCTTCCATAGCTTACAAAATAACTGAAGCTCACTAGCTTTACCCTCCTTTATTAGTCATGGATACATTAGAGTCTCGATAATTCATGAAATACAAGTACACGTTCCTAAATTCATCGGTACCTCTATTACTACCTAATTTAAATTTTACAGTCAAATATTCATAATTCGCAGTTGAACGCCTTCTGCCGCAGTGTTTGTTGACATAAGAAACCATAAAATTTGTGGAAATATAATTTCATTGCTCTAATTTGCCCTGGAAATAAAGAAAATATAACATGAATATCACTTCAGTGCTCCAGTGTGACTTAGAAATGAAGAAAATATTATATAAAACTATAAAATAAAAAAAATTTGAAGTAATGAGTGAGTTGTTTGTGGGAGGCAGGGAGGTTGGGTGTTGGACTGAGCGCATTCCCTCGTTTCCAAGCCGAGCACATCTCTGACTCATTAATACATAATGCAATTTCACCATAATTCCCTTATTATTTAGGTTCATTTGTTACTGGTTTAATAAAACATCATTGTAAAGTAATAAATGAAAAAGACATTTTTTTTATTAAATTCCTGTTTTTTTGTTGACATAGTGTGGTCACTGCTAGCCCGGCACCTGCCTGCCTCCTTGTTGGTGTATTGGTGTAACCCACAAAAATTTGAGAAAGAAAGGAGCTTTTTGTACAATATCAATGTATTATTATGTGCGCTGTTTAGTGTTTATTAAATAATTTTTACTCTGAAACAGTTAATAGGTATTTCTTGGCATCTGGAACCAAACTAATTGCATGTATTTCCATTTAAATCTATTAAACTATAATTCCAATGTTTTTTTTGGTACTTAACCCGCAAATTATCAAGACTCCACTGTACCAGCTTAGATATAAGGTCTTAGCCTTCAGTCTCTGAGCTATTCATGTCTAATACCTCCTGATTGCCACTAATACTTCATACTGTAAAAGATCTTGAAAGCCCTCGGCTGTTCGTGAAAGGATAAGATGGGATTTTAACCCCCCACTAAAGAATAATTTATCATTGATAAAAAGGCAGGACTACTCTCTGCATTATTTATCACAGCTCATCTGTGGTTGACTAAGGATAACTAGTCAGTTTACTGAATTTATAAGTTTTTACAGTGTCGGCCTGTCTTTCAGAAGCAGTTCTGAGATTTATGAGACAGTGCCGACTGATGGTTCTCTGGCCGACGACCTGGATGAACCCCTCTCTCCTGTGTTCCCTGATGATCAGCCTCTCACACCTTCAGATGATTCAGACATTTACTCCCACATTGATAATGATGAAGAGGAGCACCTTGTCAAACCCTCACAACTCATCAAGAAGCAACACAGATTTCAACAAGGTATGAATTTAAGATACTTTTGTTTCTTGAGATTTGTTTGGTGGTGAGCTGAATACTTGTTAGTAGAGGATACTAGAATTATAGACTACTGTATTATTTTTTTTGTGGCGTGGTTCCTGGAGTGTTTTGTCAAGCTTACTAACAATGTGGCATTTTGAGTGAAAAATTGTATTTAGACACCATTAAAAGACCTATGATGCCACTTTCGGCTCATCCTTCAAAGTTAGGTATACTCTACTCAACTTTTGGGGTACTCATTCATAGCTATTGCCTATATTTATTACTCCCTAAGCAAAGCAAACTTTGAAAGATCAATCATTGGTATTTTCTAAAATATATCACCATTTTATTTTTGGAGCTAGCTACTAAATAACTGGCTTGGGACAGTCATCTATATAAAGGCAGTAGATTACACCCTCACTTCTTTTCAGCTTAATAGTTCTCTCAAAGTGTTGTGTTGAAAGTCAGTGCACAAGCTGTTATCAGTTTATTTCCACAGGATTTTTGTTATGCCTTGCACTCTTTATTTAACTCCTTGTATATGAGGGGTCTCTGCTGAATAAAATCATCTGGCATTAGTCAAACCAAATTTTAAAGGTGGTGACCCATAGTGAAAGGTTTAAGGCAACAAGTTAGAAGAGTCATAAGTGGCTGGGGAAAATTTGGGGATCTGCTAACTTTATTGATGGCATGAGAATCTTCCTGTTGAGTGAGAGGAAGAATGTGAGAATGTGATGTTGGATGACAGTGAAACATAGGCAGTTGAAGAGGATGGCATAAGTAGACTTGAGCAAGCCAAAATGAGAATGGCGAGATGAATGTGTAATGTAACACTGAAAGACAGAAGGCCCTGTTCAGAGCTAAGAGGAAGGCTGGGTATTGAAAGTACAGTATTGGCAAAGTCCTGTCTAGAGGCAGGCTAAGATGGTTTGGGTATGTGGAGTGAATGGAAGAGACCAATTAGGTCAAGAGGTGCATGAACCTAAATGTGGAGGGGAAGAGAGACATGGGTAGGCCAAGAATGACATGGAGAGACATTATAAGAAATAACATTGGAGATAGAAACCTGACGAGAGACTACACTGTATGGAAAGATGCCATCAGGTAACCAATGCAAACATGGGAAATGGCCATAAAACAGTGATGATGATGATGATGACTTCAGAACTTGCCACAAATTTTTAAGTATATTTCTCACACTAAAGCAATCAACCTTTACTTGTACCTAATGCGTTTGCTTTATGGCAGGAGTAATGTCATTGTTATTGAAAAAAGAAAAGAAATGCACAGTGTTTTTTAACCTTTGCAGTAACAGTAATGTTGAGGTTTATCACCAGAAATATTAGCTGTTCTTAGAGAAAGATATGACAAAGGTAATCAGGGAGCCACGCTATATGTCAGGATAATGTACATATTTTACATGAATTGTTGTGGACATTTTTAATCATGTGTCATCAAGTATACTTGTGGTGTGGTGAGTCTGAGGCTCTCATGATAGGAATATTATAATTTACTGTTGCATGACCTCGGTCTCAAGCACTCAAGTTTTTCATTAACTTATGTACTCGTATGTCGGATGACATTTACAGGGTTGTTGTTCCCACATATGTGTTTGTACATACTGTTCTGTATAGTACTATATTTTATAATACACACATGACAAACATTTCAAGGATCAATTTAAGGATCATTTTTATACATAAAATTTCCAGATAAATTAACTTAACTTTATAAAAGTCTATACTTTTTGCATTATTTTATGTGCTGTTTAAATAAAGGTATCCTCTGGTCCCTGCCCCTTAGTGTCTTGAACAGAAACTTTAATGAACAGCTTCCTTTCTTATTTCATTCATGTAAAACAGACCATGTCGTACAAAGGAGCAATTTTTGTTTATAAAGATTTGTCAACACTATTGAAGACTGTAAGAAGAATTTTGTTTCGACTGGTTTCTTGTCCTGCAGTGCTACTTCTTATTTTATGTGCTGACCATTTAAGACCATTCCTTGGAGGTCAGTTCATATAGGGTGGGTCACTTTTATTTCATGGTTGTTTTAAGTGGCAACAAAATGAATCCAAGGTGCTGAAGATCTCTTGGTTCATTGCATTCCACCCCACTGTATTGTAAATATGATAGGTAGGTAGACTATTTTTATTCAGATATTTACTGCAGATTTTCTTCCTCCATAATTTGTTTGTTAATATTTGATGACATGCTGAAGGTGTCTGCAAAATGTGAATAAGAAGTATTCTCGGCTTAATGACTGTTACAGGATGATAGTTTTACCTGAGCACTCAGAAGCATGTTAAAAAAATATCATAACTCATAAACTGCATAGGTTTCATCACAATATAATTTTATCTATGTACATACAGTGTACATAGTTTTATATACGTATGCTGTATATATTTTATAAACATAACCCTATTTCATAATTTGGCCTTCAGAACTAAAAGAAAAATGTTAGTTGTGGAATGGGTAGGAAAGTTTATGGTTTGGTGGGGAAGTGTGACAGGAATGCATGAAGTATTTAGCTTCTCCTTGTGTGGCTTGCTGGTCCAGAGGTTGACTGTTAATCTTTGTGCTGCATCCTTGTTTTGCCACTAACAGGGTTTTCCATAAGTTTGGACTGAAAAACAGAATTAATGTTTAAAGCCATCTGTAGTGGCAGGAGGTAATTTTTGAGGTGAAAATGAGAAATTAGGGTTTTGGAAGTGATTGCCATTCATGAGAAAGATGTGCAGCCCGTCCTTAAGGAAAACCCTACACTTGATGGATATTTCTTCTTTTTGCTATAAAAATGTATTTAATTTGATAATGATGATGATGAAGATGATATTTTAACTGGATTATATACTGATTAATTGACACACACACACACACACACACACACACACACACACACACACACACAGAGTGGAATCCCAGTTATCCAGCCCCTACGCTGATTGAGAGGTGCCGTATAAAGAGTTTTCCGGTTAGTTGGAGCTCACTCTTAGGATCCCTCGGTAAATCCTATAATGCACAGTGCTACAGGCTGACCTCGCAAATTTGTGTTTCAGATGAACGGACTTCTTTAACACTTATTCCACTGTATATAAATAATATGGGTTAGAAATAAAGAAAATATCAAATAGAAATGTAAAATAGGAAAAATTTAGAACTTGGCTGTGTATGTGTGGATAGTGACTGTGTGTGGAGGTGGTGGGCTATAACTACTTTGCCAACTTGCCAGCCCAGCTGCCTCATTTATTGGTACAGTACTGTACTTGTAATGAAACTACGAAAGTTGTGGAAAAATCGTTACAATACTTTAATGTGGCTTAGAAGTAAAGAAATCACAAAATAAAATTATAAAACAAGAAAAATGAAGAGCATCGGTGTGCATATGTGGGAAGTGAATGTGTGTTGAGGCTGTGGGTTACTGGGCTATAACTGCGTGCCTGTTCTTCTTTCCTATGTGATGTCACAGCTTACACACAGAAAGCGCTGCAGCCACATGTCTGTGAATCAGCCAGTTGACTGCCGGAATTCTGTCGCGTTGCCTAGAGGATGGTTTGGATGTGGAAGGAGCAATTTTTTGCACACAAAATACATGCTGTTGTATATTGTGATGTGCTAAATTTCGAGTTTATTGTTTATCATAGCAATAAATATGGCAGGTCATCCCCATTGTGTTGCGATATTTGAACTTATGATTCTCGCTGATTTTGGAGGAATTTTTATTTGTATTGTTATCTCATTTTAGTGCCAGTTAGTTGATTCTACCGGTTGCTTGGATACCGGGTAACTGGGATTCTATTGGTATAATATATACGGTATATGTGATAATTTTTGTTGTTGTTAGAACAGTCACAAGTGGCACTGAACATAAATTTTGCAGAGCAAAAGCAGAATTGAAAGACAGTTCCTATTCACACATAATAGGACTTCCTTTATGAAAGTTAAAAGAGAAAGCGGGTTCCATATGCATGACTGTTCATAAGGTACAGTTTGGATACAGCATACTGTATACAAAGCCATTGGTAATGCAAGGAGGCTACTTGCCCAACACTACACTCAACATCCCTAGCTGTAAAGTTAGGTGTCCATTTGTAGGTGGGTGAAGTGGGAGTGCCCTAGGATTGAACCAGCAACCCTCAGGATAGGAGGTGAGCATGTTATACACTTGGCTGTTACACCCCACAATGCTAAAGTCATGATGAATAAGATATATTTGATTATAAGTGAAATTTATCTCAGCCATCTCGAGCCGCTTACCCAACATGGCGCGAGATTGCGGGAGGTTTGAATCCAAAAATGGCGCGGCGCGAGAGGACCGCCAGTCGCTCTCCGCGTAAATGAAGCAGCCCGCTTATGGCAAAGTACCGCGTAAATGACAAAACGCTTAAATCCAGACTCAACTGTACAGTAATATTTCCGTTTGCCGGAATCCCCAAAACCCGGAACTCTCCGATGGTCGGAATTGAAATTCTCTCAAAAAATCATTCCCAAAACGTGAATTTTTTGGAAAATTCAGGCCTTGCGAACGATTTTCCGAAGGGAACATTTTCCCGGAAAATTGTAAAAAAGTTTTCCTTATACCCAGAAATCTCTTATTCCCAGAAGTGCTCTACACCAATTGTTCCGGCTAACGGAGATATCACTGTATATTTATAGTGGGTACAAATTCCAGTAGTGGAGGGTCTCGGTGGTTCCTGGAACCTAAATCTTAACTTTCTATTATGTAATGTATTCACAATTAGCTGTACTGGTGTGAACTCAATAATTTAGCATTTAAAAAACTGACACTTTTGAAAGCTGGCTCTCTCTCTTTTTCGGCTTGGTAACCTTTTACTCATGAATCTTTGTACACCAAAGTAACGTACATCTTTCAGTGGTGTATGGTCTGAGTATGCTTTATCTATACTTTACTGGCTTACTTGTGAAGACCATTGTGTATCATATAGTATAGATGTTATTTGTTATAATTATATAACCAAACATTTAGGTAAACTATGC